ATGGGGTCTCGCTCTTGCTCAGGCTGGTTTCGAACTCCTGAGCTCAAACAATCCGCCAGATTTGGCCTGCCAGAGAGCTAGGATTACAGGCGTGAGCCACTGCGCCCGGCCAACAATTAGGAAATTTTATTCAAACAAGCATGAGAGCAAGGCCAGAATGGCATAAGAGCAGTGATTGTTTTTACATATATAAAGCATCAAACTTTCATTATCCACTTTAGATTTTACAAATTTCACATATAGAACTGGTTTTATGTTTTAAGTGAAATAAATAGTAGCCAGTTGACTTTAATATAGCATTTTCCTCAATATTAGGATACTGTTTCCTCAAACTCCTTTGGATGTTATATGTAATTCTTTTATTAAGGAGCTCTATGGTATCTGTAGTAACTCTACCACAAGGAGGAATCCTATAGTTTTGTGGTATAAGCACATGTCTGATGTATAAGCTAGAATTTAGATATATTCAATAAACACTCCTTATGTATTTAAAGTAGGTGTTGGATAGGTGTTAAGGATACAAAAATGAATCAGACTTAAGGTCCAGTAGGAGAGACAGATATGTAAATGAATAAACAGTCTATGTGATATCACAATGTATATAAATATAAGGAACAGAAGTAATCCTGGGCAGAGTGTGACTAACTATAGTTTATCTAACTGGAGTTTGAAGGATGCTTAGTATTTTATCAGGCAATTACAAGTGAGGAAAGGGCCTTTCTGAAAGAAGGGACACCAACATAAAAACACATAGGGTGAAACATTAGGCGTTGGTTGGAAATGACAAGTCATACGGCTTACTGAAATATTAAGTGATAGGGTGAGAGTGGAGCTAGAAGAGGCTGGAACATGAGGCAGGGGAAGGTTATGGTGATCTTTGTGAGCCCTGCTAATAAGCTTGGACATTATTCTGTCAATGGTGGGGAACCATCAAATTTGAAGACAGGAAGTGATGTGGTCAGATTCTCAATTATTAACATTAATAGTTTAATTTTGGCTTCATTAGGGAGGGGAGCATTTGAGAAAGTCAAAATCTAGAAACTAAATGAAAAGCGATGAGTTACTAATTTCATACAGTTACATTAAGAGTAAGAAGTAAAGAAAGGAAAAGAATTAATGGAATTTGGTAACTTATTACAGATAGGAGGTGGAGGAGAGAAAGGAAAATGTGACTGATTTTTATAGAGTTCTGCTTTGCAGTTAATAATTTCCTTGATAAACATAACATTATAATTATTAGTTTACATTTTCCATAAACTATTATTCTACTTTCTAATTATAATTTTTTAAATTTTAGGATGTATTTAACTTCAGTGGCACCTATATTGGTACTACCCAGATTATTCCATTTGTAATAAAAAACAAAGGTATAACACGTGCCAGAGTGGAGTTTAATCTAGAAGACTTCCCAGAGTTTTCAATGGATCTTAAAGACAAATCAGGTATATATTTTATATGTATTTTATACTAAAATGGTATTATTGTAATAGCAACACAGTTTTAAATTGCTCTAATGTGTAATTGTTAAAAACAATTTAAGTCAAGGGCAGTTATTCCTAAATGTTTTTAATGGCCCAAAGCATGTTTTCCTTATATTCTATAATTCATCATGGTTTAATTTCTAGAAATACATCAATATTAATATCAGAACACTTTGGTAATACATGACATATAACCATACTTATTAGTTGGCTTAATATAGTATCTTAAGTATGTTATATATAAGTATATACTATAAATGAAAGTATAATTATTAATTACTAGTTTTAATTGCTCAAGAATTTTAGGTAAATGTCTTTGGAGAGCCCTTTCTATATGTTACTCATGTATTAGTTATCTTTATGTTAAATTAGGTTTAAAAAAATAAGCATTTTTTTTATTTCAACATATTATGGGGGTACAGATGTTTAGGTTACGTATGTTGCCCTTGCCCCCCCCAAATAAGCATTTTTTAAGTATATTTCGTCTGTTTACTCCAGCTGTTGTTAAACAAATGCCCATGGGCCAAATCTGGCCTGACACCTGTTTTTATAAATAAAGTTATGTTAGAACACACTCATTTGTTTGTATATTGCCTGTGACTGCTTGTATGCTATAATGACCAACTTGAATATTTGTGATAGAAACCATAGGGCTCAAAAAGCTTAAAATATTTGCTATCTGGATCCTTACAGAAAAAGTTTCCTAGTCATTGGTTTAGTCATTTCTTCTTCAGTAAATATTTGTTGAATCCCACTTATAGGCACGATACTGGATTTTGAGTCTATAAAGATAAATAAGACATCTTACATGTCCTCAGCAAGTCAACAGTAATTTTATCAGTGAAATGATGGATATGTACTTGTATTCCTTGTGGACTCAGAGGCATCAGAGCTGGTCTGGGTCTTCCCTACTCCATCTTCACTAGGAAGGGAGTCTCTCAGCTTTTCTGGGACCC